CGGACACCAACTTGGAGGTGGGACAGACTTGAGGCGCAAACAACAGGTTGCGCCCTTATGAACGAGCAACTATGACTCCCAAACATTATCGCCAAAAAAATGTTATAAAGGCGTTGATCCACTTGAAGTTTAGGAGATAGTTCCCAATAAAGGATTGCGGTTTCCTTTCTTTGCAGATTGCTCTGCTCTCCCTAACTTTCCGTGTCATAGACCCTTAGATGGTGCGATCCTATAGCACGGAACGTATGCGCAATGCGGAATTGGCGGAACGAAGTTCGTCCAATCGCAGACATTCTGCCAGTTGCGTTCCGCTGAAATATATTTTCTAATGTCCCATGGAGCGGAACTCGCGGAAGCGCAATTGACGCTTGCCAATCACAAGATTGTTTCCCATAGATCCTTTTATTGTATCTATCGGAACAGTGTATATTATTGGCACGCACAGACTACGCTTCCGCATTTTCCGCTGCATGGGACATTAGAAAACAAATTTATGCGAATCGGAATCACACATACATCTGTCACATTAACGAATTCCATTTATATTCAACAAAATTGCCACCAATTGCTACAACATTCAATCGCTAAAAATGAATTCTAAAAAATTGTTTGTTATTATTTGCATATTATTAAATAAATTAAAACAATGTTGGTGTTTATTTAAAAAGCAAGAACTACGCAGTAAGATTATAAAATTATATTCATTATATATAGTCGCAAAAAAAAATAAAAATGAAAAACAACAAAGACATTGGGCACGACCTATATTTAGTATAGAGATGAGAAGATTAAAACAAGGAGCAAGTAAGAATCTTGTGAAAGAAATGCTGGCCGAAGACAGAGAAAAATATCAATATTATTTTAGAATGCCACCTCAATTATTTAATGCGTTATTAACATTAGTCGAACCAGTCATCATAAAACAATATGTTATTCGCGAACCTATTTCCCTTGACACTCGGCTCCAGATTTACACTGCGCTATTTAGCATCAAGGGATAGTATGAAATCCCTGTCATATGCCTTCAGAGTTGCACACAACACAATCTCAAAAATTATATCCGAGACTTGTGAAGCTATTTGGAGTTGTTTAAAAGATTCAGTTTTTTTTATGGACAATGAAGAGAGTTGGAAATCTGTAGCTGATAAAATTTCAACGATTGTGAAACTTGCCGAAATGTATAGGTGCTATTAATGGAAAACATGTTTAAATCCAAGTAAGTTTTAAATAGAATTTTGAGTTTATTTATATAACGTTAAAACTTTATTGATAAGAAATAAAAGGCTTTGTTAAATATAAAAAAATTTATTTTATATTCAATGTACACAATACATATTGGTTGGCGCTCACTGTAAATAGTGTAAATAGCGTTTAATTGTGCTCCCGTTGTTCGTTAGTTAATCGTAATCAGTTCATGTTCGTTAGTATTAGTTGTCTCCACCGGTTTACGTAAGACGGCCGGTAAGGTTATATTCGAGTTAACGACTCGCGCGGAACGTTGGCGGATCGCGATCAATCGGTCTGTCAATAATCACCCGACTCGTGCTGCCCACCCCATCGGCGGCCGTTTCCGTAAGGACCTCGCGCCGCGAGTCGCGGAAGCGCGAGCCGGAAGAAGCATTCACACTCTCGTATCAGTCACGGAAGAGTCCAGACACGTTTCAAACACGATCGTATCGGCTCACGTTTCGGACCCCGCGAAGACTATTGCGCCCACTAAGAGCATTCGATTTCCTGCCTTTTCTGCTTTGCATGCCGCTTGCACACTTTGGACATTCGGCACGCTTTGGACAGTCTCACCACCAAGGAGGCCAGCCACCCAGAGGAAGGCCGGAACCGACACCCAAGGGCCGGGCAACGAAACGGTGAGTCGCATTCACTCCGTTTGCGTGCATCATGCACCCGTTTTGTACGTGAGGGGATTGCGCCCCTCTGGTCCTTCGAGAGATTATCGTTGTACCATTTGCGTCCCCGAGGCGGACTCACACCCCCCCCCCCCCGAGCATTTGGTCCTTCGAGCCGGATTGTGCGTAGAAGTGGACCTCGCGTTAGTGAAAACCGCTAGCGTCTCGTGCTTCTCGTTAATATTCGGTCGTGCCATGGCGTGGACGATAAATCGGTATCGCCGACGACCGCCGCGATATCTCTCGTTCGCAGTATTCGGCTCGCTGCGAGAATACGCGCGGAATACCTCGTGGCACGCCATTATCGTTATTCGTTGTGAAAAATACACGCGTCGACTCGTCATCGGCATTAGCGGACGAACGGTGTTGCTAGTTTCGCGGCGCGCCATTGCCGTTGATCGCTCTTGTCGATTGAACGCTTGTGCAACATAAGTCGTCATCGTCGTTATTCGGACGAACGATACGATTTATATTCATACTCAAGGTATATTCATTTGCGAATATTCCTTCGTGCTTCGCGCAAATTTCGAACCGAACCATCCGCTACTCGTCGCTACGGCGAGCCGAGCGGTGTTGTTTTTATTTTTTCCGCATTCCACACTCGAAGCCTTCGACGCTTCGACGATATTATTGTGTTGAACTTGCCATCGCCTCGCTCGTGCGTTGGAGTTGATTATCCTGGCGATTCAACCTGAGTTTGAACCTCGGCGACTCAAACCGAGATAGCATAATTTCGTTTTGCTCGAGCACTCGCGCGGGCACATCGACCTTCAAGATGAATAGGGGGTGCAAACAGCGACGCGAACTGTGCGTTCGGCGCATGAGAGAAATTCATCAATATTCGATGCTCGCGGTAGACAACGTGTCGATGAGACCAACCTTTATCGTTCGTTATCCGACGGTAGCCCAATTAGTTCAGGATTTTGAGAAGGCTCACCTCCAAGTAACTCAGGATGCTAATGATGAAGAATTTGCGTCAAAGACGCGATACGTGACGAGTTCGACAAAATGCGTTTTGCCGTAATAGGGCGGTATGAAAGCTTCGTTCCCGCGCCGGGGACCAATGCGTCCTCGCGGGGTGCGCCGCTCGCGCCCCAATCCGCGATCAGACTACCGAAGATCGCCCTCCCACAATTTACGGGTGATCTTGGCCAATGACCATCCTTCATTGCGCTGTACAACACGGCGATCCACGAAAATAGCAGCGTGTCCGCTATCGAGAAATATCAGTACTTGTTCTCGTTATCGGGGGAGGTTTTCGGCGTCATAAAAAACTTGCCCATGACTTCGGAAAATTACGTGATTGCTTATGAGGCGCTGCTATCGCGATATCAGGATAAAAGAAAATTAGCCACGCAATATTGGCGCTCCCTCGTGCATGCCACTCCCTTGAATGCGGATTCCGTCGAATCCCTTCGTTCGTTGTTAGACGCCTTCAATGAAAACACGCGTGCCTTGAAGATGATGGACTACCCGGTGGAGCCCTGGGACTTCATGCTCTTCAATCACTTGTTGGAGAAGCTAACTCCCTCTCTAAGGGAGAAATTGGAGTCAGTTCACATGACCGTGGAATCGCCGCGATACGAGCAATTGATAACGTATCTGTCGGGATACTGTACAGTCCTCGCGTCGGTAGCCGACTCGTCAAATAAATTGAAAGTACAAAATCCGCCTGCTAAGAAAGCCGCATCGACTACCTCGCTCGTCGCACAGGCACGCCGCGTGCCTCCAGTGCAAGGAGCAACATTCCTTTGCGAAATGTCCTGAATTTCTGAAGCTCTCGGTCAAGGAGAGGTACAACTTTGTTCGCGAACGGGGGGTATGCCTGAATTGTCTTCGCACCGGACATTATTCGAGAAATTGTTTGTCGGCATGGACGTGCCGGACGTGTCATGCAAAACACCACTCGCTCCTGTACTTCGAGCAAAGCATCGCCTCGCCGCAGGGGGGCGCCGCGACCCCCGCGAAGTCAGAGGACAAACCGATTGTTGCGATGGCTAGCGTGGCCAATGGCGTGGTCTTGTTGTCGACCGTAAGAGCGGAAGCCATTGACGTGCTTGGCAACCCGTTTTCGGTCCGCATATTGTTGAATAGCGCGAGTCAGGCCAACTTCATCACGGAGAGTTGCCTGCAACGGGGCGGTTTCGCCGGACGAAACACCGCGTGACAGTGTTAGGCGTCAGCAAGACAAAGGTCGCCACAACGCGGGGCCTTACGTCATTCGTGATCCGAGCGCGAGATCGCGACGATATTTGTCTCCCCGTCGAAGACACGGTGCTTCCTCGCATCACCTCGCCGCTGCCAAACGAACGTGTTGCGGCAAAATCATGGAGTCACCTACGGGGGCTGCAGCTAGCAGATCCGGACTGTTACATGCCCGGTTCAATTGACATTCTATTGGGAGCGGAATCCTTCGTATCAGTACTTAGAAACGGTCGTCGCACCGGTACTCATTGGGAGCCGGACGTCTTCAATACGGTTTTCGGCTGGGTTCTGATGGGCTCGGTTTCCCCCTCCTTGCAAGTGCAATCGCTGCACTCCTTTGTCACCACGCTCGAGTCGATCGACGCGTCGGTGGAAAGGTTTTGGAAGTTGGAAGAAGTTCCGGAACACGTTCCGATTTCAGAGGAGAACCGGCGTTACAGGGAGATCGTTGATAAAACCACGTGTCGCGACCATTCGGGTCGTTTCGTGGTCTCATACCCCTTTACATCGCACCCTCCTTCATTCGTGGACTCGCGACCCATAGCAGTCAATCGGTTACGCGCACTCGAACGCCGATTCAAATTGGATCCCGAACTTAGAAAAGGTTATAACGCGTTCTTACAGGATTATCTCGATAGCGGACATATGGAGGTTGCAGACCAGACTTCTTCATCGGACGGTTGCGTCTATTATATGCCCCATCATGGGGTGTACAAACTCGATAGTACGACCACCAAATTGCGGGTCGTGTTTAACGCTTCGTCCAAATGCCCGAACAGTATATCGCTAAACGACACATTGCTCAGTGGACCGAAATTACAACCAGACATAATCGCGCTCCTAATTAGATTCTGAGCTGAACCGGTAGCTATCACCGCGGACGTGAAGCAGATGTTTTGCCAAATCTGGATAGACCCGGAGCAACGGGATTATCAACGCATTGTCTGGCGTTTTTCGGAGTCGGATCCTATCTTGGATTACCTGCTCAAAACGGTCACCTTCGGCGTCACCTCTTCTCCATTCCTAGCGATCTATTGCCTGCTTTGTCTAGCTTATGAGTATCGTGATAAGTATCCGCTGGTTTACGCTCTACTACTCAAGGCTCTATACGTGGACGACGTCGTAGCCAGCGTCCGCACAATCGCACAAGGCATCGCGCTTCGCGATCAATTGATAGGACTGTTCCGGAGCGCCGGTTTTGAGTTGCGCAAATGGGCGAGTAGCCATCCTGCCGCGTTGGATGGACTTGACCCTGATATCTGTAGTCAATCCATGCATTCCTTTGATACGACAGAGGATCAGGGGCTCAAGGTTCTAGGCCTCCGCTGGCATTCAACAGTGGATAGCTTTGGATTTCAGATCAACCCCTTGACCCGAACATGCACCAAGCGCACCGTTTTATCGGGAGTAGCGCGCATGTTTGACCCTCTAGGATTTTTGGCACCGCTTACGTTCACCGCAAAGGGATTGATTCAGTATTTGTGGACCCTCAAGCTCGACTGGGACGACGAACCGCCGGAAGAGGTTCGCCGCCAGTGGAAATCGGAGCTTGACGCGTTGAGCTCCTTTCAGATACCTCTTACGTTCCCCGTGGGTGATGGTGTTCGTCGCGAGTTGCACAAATTTTGTGACGCGAGCGAACGGGGTTATGGGGCTGTAACGTACATTCGCGCTGTCACTCCATCGGAGGTCAAGGTTATAATTCTGTGCGCCAAAGCAAAAGTGGCTCCGTCACGCGCCCTTTCCCTACTTCGCTTGGAGCTTTACGCCGCGTTGGTCCTCGGTAATTTGATCGATTACGTCCGGCAGGTCCTATTGGAACACCTGGAAATTGATGCCGAGTACGCCTGGTCCGATGCCAAGGTCGTGCTATACTGGACCCATTCCTCCCCGCATAAATGGAAAACGTTCGTTCGCAATCGCGTTGCTCGAATACAAGAAAAGGTGCCGGTCACGGCTTGGGGTCACGTGGCCTCTGAGCTTAACCCCGCGGATCATTGTTCCCGTGGCCTGTTCCCGCGCGAACTCGTGGCTAATACTACGTGGTGGGAGGGCCCCGAGTGGCTGCTTGATTTCGAAGGCCGCGCCGAACCGGTCCTTTCTGGGGAATCGTCCCCAAGCGAGGAGGAGAGAATCGTATCGCTCGCCGCGATCAACCTACCTAACCCCATATACGCCCTATTAGATAGATTCTCGTCACTAGATAAGATTTGTAGGATAGTTGAATATATCACCAAAATCGCCCAAAATTTAAAGGGTAAATCGGTACCCGCGACCTTGGCAGTCGATCAGGTCGAAGCGCATCGCGCGCTCTTGATCGTCGTTAGATTTGTGCAGACGGAGGTCTTCAGCGAGGAGATTGACCGACTTAGGAACGGAAAGAGATTACCGAAGCCTTTCCTCAAACTCGCGCCCTTTTTGGACTTAGAGGGTATTTTCAGGGTAGGCGGCAGGCTCGTCCATTTGGGACTGGCGTTCGAGGCCAAACACCCCGTCCTACTGCCGAACAAACATCGCTTGACGGATCTCGTCGTTGAACATGTGCACCGGGCTCAACTGCACCCGGGTAGACGCACGCTGCAATACTTGCTCGCCCAACGTTTTTGGATCCTTGGGTTCCACCGCGTGATTCGGCGGGTGCTCTCGAGATGTTATAAGTGCTTCCGCGCAAACCCGCATGCTACCCAACCCATCATGGCGACACTACCGGCCGAGAAAGTCAGCCAAGTCAAGCCCTTTTCGATCAGTGGATTTTGCGGGGCCCTTTGCGATGGTCACGCGACGGGCTCGGGGAGTCTCCTCCTTCAAGGTGTACGTTTGCCTCTTCATGTGCTTCGCGGTCAAGGCGATACACCTGGAGGTGGCCTTCTCACTGTCTACGGACTCTTTCCTTGCTGCGTTGCGGCACTTCGTGGCTCGACGCGGCCGCTGTTCGCTCCTATATAGCGATTGCGGCACGAATTTTGTAGGAGCCGCGCGCGAACTCGAAAAGTGCATGTCTCTCGTAGCCGAGCGAGAACAAATAAAGTGGTCGTTTAATCCCCCCTTGGCTCCTCATTTCGAGGGCCTCTGGGAGACGGGGGTCCAATCACTTAAGACTCACCTTTGAAGGGTGGTAGGGGATCAGATCTTATCATTCAAAGAATTCATTACGGTCCTTGCTCAGATTGAGTCTGTCCTCAACTCCCGGCCTCTCTGCCCTATGAGCACCGACTCTTCAGACCTCGAGGTCCTATCCCCGGGCCATTTTCTAACAATGGAACTCCTAGTGTCAGTTCCCACTCTCGACGTGGCTCCGTTGCCAATAAATCGTTTGAGTCGATGGCAACTCATTCAACGCATCCACCGCGACTTTTGGAAGCGCTGGCACGTAGAGTATCGCAACACGCTCCAACAGCATCCCAAATGGTGGACCTCTGCCGGTACTCTCGACGTGGGCACGTTGGTCCTCATCAACGCAAACTCGTTCCCCCTACGTTGGAGACGTGGACGCATAGAAGCGCTGTATCCGGGTAGCGACGGCGTTCCGCGGGTCGCCACGGTGAAGATGGCGGATGGTTCGATCGTGCGTCCCTTGGTGAAGCTATGCCCCTTGCCGGTGGGCACTCCACCTCGGAAGCCCGCTACAGTTTAAAAATACAACGTTGTATTTTAGTGGGCGGTATGGTTGGCGCTCACTGTAAATAGTGTAAATAGCGTTTAATTGTGCTCTCGTTGTTCGTTAGTTAATCGTAATCAGTTCATGTTTGTTAGTATTAGTTGTCTCCACCGGTTTACGTAAGACGGTAAAGTTATATTCGAGTTAACGACTCGCGCGAAACGTTGGCGGATCGCGATCAATCGGTCTGTCAATAATCACGCGACTCACCCGACTCGTGCTGCCCATCGGCGGCCGTTTCCGTAAGGACCTCGCGCCGCGAGTCGCGAGAGCGCGAGCCGGAAGAACCATTCACACTCTCGTATCAGTCACGGAAGAATCCAGACACATTTCGAACACGATCGTATTGGCTCACGTTTTGGACCCCGCGAAGACATTGCGCCCACTAAGAGCATTCGATTTCCTGCCTTTTCTGTTTTGCATGCCGCTTGCACGCTTTGGACATTCTGCACGTTTTGGACATTTGGCACGCTTTGGACAGTTTCACCACCAAGGAGGCCAGCTACCCAAAGGAAGGCCGGAACCAATATCCAAGGGCCGGGCAACGAAACGGTGAGTCGCATTCACTCCGTTTGCGTGCATCGTGCATCCGTTTTGTACGTGAGGGGATCGCGCCCCTCTGGTCCTTCGAGAGTTTATTGTTGTACCATTTGCGTCCCCGGGGCGGACTCACCCCCCCACCGAGCACATATTATGGTAAAAAGACAATATGTGTTCTTGTTACAGGCTCCACCAAACAGCGGATCGACATACTACAATTACAAAGGCCATCACAGCATTAATCTCCTCGAAATCAGCGATGCAAACTATTGCTTTACAATAGTCGATATTGGTGCCGAAAGTAGGCAAAGTGATGGAGGAGTCTTCCGCAACAGCGAAATTGGGAACCGCTTCGAAGTTAATTTGTTCAAACTTCCAAACCCGAAATAGATTGAAATTGACGGATTAGAATTACCCTAGTAGCAGATGAAGTTTTTCTATTATCTATGTAGATGATGATGAGACCATATCGGCAAAGTAGAAAACTCAACATTGGGAAAAAAGTATTCAATTATCGACTTAGCCGTGCAAGAAGGGTTGTGGAGATCGCTTTCGGCATATTAGTGGCTCGATTGAGAATATACCGAAGGCCAATCATCGCAAATGTCAGCAATGTACGCAAAATTGTACAAGCAACTGTAGCACTGCACAATTTTATTATAAAAAACAAAGCGCAATTAACGGGAAGTAAATCATATTTACACAACTCTCGAAGATATGCGTACAAGCCATGGAGTTTGCAATATGCCACTTTGTCGAAGCCGCGGCAATAAAGATGCTATTGCAGTTAAAGAAGCGTATTCGACATATTTTTAAAGTACTGGTGCGTTATCTTACCAGTGGGAAAAAGAGTTACAAAACGATTTTTAATTAATGATTGACGATAATTGACGATTTGTCTCTGTAAAAAATTTTATAAATAGTACTGTAAGTATATGTAAGTTAGTAAAGCGTAGATATACTTATAAACACTAGATAAACTTATTCGTAAGGCTTGTATGTGGTATGTCATAATAAAAATACATTTTGTTTGAAAATAACTTGTATTTGTTTGAAACTAAATATACGTAGTATACAATAATAGTCATACTTAATATTAATGTAATAAAAAAGAAAAATAAATAGATATATATAATAATAATGTAACGTAGTAAAAAAGTTTCTTTTATATCAGATAGCAGATTAAGTAACATAAAGTAAATATAATTTATTTATAGTTATTGATTATTTAATTTATTTTGCTGTTCCATGAGCATAGCAAGGAATTTCATTTCTAATTCAATTCGCTTTCTGTAGGCAGTTTTCCTTCCGAGTATCCTTCTCCGAGTAGAAGTAAAAATCCATCAACTCCGTTAAGTTTTTTATTGATTTCGAGTAATGTTGTGATAACGGTTTCGTGAAATCTTTCTGACTTTTTTTCTGAAATATTATTAATTTTTAACATGAAATAAATTTATTGAAATGTCTAATAAAGTGATATAGAACCGTACTTTTACTTAAGTTTAAATCAATTTCTCCGGAGTTTGATGGCAGCAATAAGTTTGATATATTGCTGCCCGCATTGCTGCTCGCATTGCTGCATGTTGGTTGGGGTACCAACACTGATTGTGAGTCTTCACTAACTTCAGTTAACATACTTTTATTTTCTTCATTGTTTTGAACGTTTGATGATAGACTAGTACATGTTCTAGAGAGAAAAACAGCACTTTTAATATCGGATCGGATCTTAACAAAAAATAGTCAAGAACCTTGGAGAAAAATTCCTATTGCGTGGATACCAATTTCAAGTGCCAAAGAGGACTAAATTAAATAACCAAGTCAAGTCTGGAGTGTCTCTGTATTTTAAATATATTGACTTTTTAAATAATGTATATATTAAATTATTAAACTTACAAAGATTTTCCTAAGACATCATCCAAAAACTTTATCTGTTCGAAGAACCTAAAGAAACTTTTTTTCAAAGTTGAAGTTTTAGCAGCAGACCCACTTGGAATGTACATATGTTTTTTTGCTTCCTCATAGAAGCTTTGTGATAGTGAAAAAAATTTTTTTCGACATTTTGATGGAAATAGGTTTAGAATGTTCCAAAATGTTGAGAAATCATATTAGTAAAAAATTTGTGTGTGTGTGTGTGTGTGTGTGTGTGCGTGTGTGTACGGATTTTTTGTACACGCATCTACTTCTACAATTTTTTAGATACCGGGTTGAAATTTTACACACAAATAGAAAATCATAAAAAGTATGTTCTCCTTTAATTTTATTAAAATCTGTCGACCGGTATGGATTTTAAGGGGATTTTCATTTTTTAGAAAAGTGTGTTTTACGCTGTATTTTTCTCAATATTTGAAATATTGATCTATTTTTAATTTTATTATATTCTTTAGTTTTTCTACCCCTATTTCATACATAATTCTTTAAAACTTGGTTGATTAGATCCATTTTTATACGCGATCAAAAGTCCATAATATTTTTAGAAATATGTGTTGCAAATTTCGAAATATCGTGCTATTTATAGTTTTATTATTGTATATTCTTATCGGTGAATGAGTTACCGATTTTTGCTTAAAAAGTTACATGTATAAGTTATACATGTAATTTTATATAGAGTATCATTAAAAAAAGGTTGGTATTGAATTTGGCAATAATCGATAAAAAGGTTTTTTCTTTATACAAAATTTTGAATTTTTGAGAAAATCAATACAATTAGTACAAAGTCTGATGTATTGATTTTCTCAAAAAACTGTTTGTAGAATTACTAAGCTGTCCTGCTATTAATTTCACATATTATATGTCATTTTGATAAGTTATCAAGTTTTATACGGCCCTGGGGCATGCGCAAGCATTTTGCTCCTCCAACGAAAAACAAAAAAACAGTATTTTAAAATTTGCGAAAGTTAGAACTTTTACATATTTAAATGTTTAAAAAAAGTTTATCTCTAATAAAAAACAAAAAAATGGCCCAATATCTCAAAATTTGCGGAAATTAGAAAACCCACAGGCATTTATACTGTGGAAAAATTAAAACTTCCTTAAAATAAAAAAAAATGTATAAACTTTTATCAAAATGAGGGGAAAAAATAAAAGGATCGTACTACCCAGGGGGAGGAAACTCCCAATGAAAAAGTAAAGACAGTGTTTCAACGCCACCTGGGCTAATAGACCGGTTTTTTGACACTACCATGGTAAAAACTCGCGGATTGTCGGTAATGTGTTCTGAAGGTATAAGTAGAATTATAAAGATGAATAGAAGTATCAATATTAGAGGTTATTTGTATACTTATTCATATTGGAATATTTAGAAATATTTAGTGTGAGAAAGAGTGAAAAGGTAGTGAAAAGTAGAAGTAGTGAAAAGTAAACGTGAAAGTATTTAATGTATTATTAGTAATTTAATGTAAATTAAATTAAAAATAACTAGGTATATGAGCAGTCTGCGCTGTACTCTGCTTCCACCGTTTCCACGACGGCTTACATATATTCCTTCTGTATCAAGTTGTGCGAGTGATATACAGGCAGCGAATACGTAGAAAACTGACCATATCTAACGTCGAATAATTATCTCGATAACGGAAATAAGCTATTGTGAGGTCCGGTATGTTCAAAAAGTCGGACATTTAACATTTTCTTCCTCTTTACGAAGAAACACGGGAGAAACAAGAGTTTATTCTTCTAGGCCGCTTTGCTGCAATTAAGGACAAGAAGGCGAGTCTACCTGAAATTGTTTCGCTGATTCCAAGGAAAGGGAAAG